ATCTCTTGATTCATTCATATTTTTATTGATAAGAATATTCCTCATCAATTAAATTTATTTCGATGTAATTTGAATTTCCATTGTTTTTAAGATTTAAAAGCAAATATTGAACATTAATTATCTGAAATATTTTGTTTCTCAGGATTTCCATAAATACAATTGAAGAGCAAAATTCAAATCAATAACTTATATATTGAGAATAATAAAGTTTGATACTCGTTAAACATTTGCAGTACCTGCATATACTTTGGTACATATACAATCTTTACTTAGTATACACTATGTATATACAGCAACTAAGAAGAAAACCTTTGCCGAGACTATGCATCGTGAACCGTATGACGGAGTGCTAGGAAGATTGCCGGACCACCGGCGAAATGTCCGTGTTAATAGCAGTAATTACTCTGCCTTGTTGAGGGAAAGATCGAGAGATCTAGACAGAGAGAACAAGAGAGAGAGAGAGAGAGAGAGAGAGAGAGAGAGAGAGAGAGTATGTGTGTATATGTTGGCAAGAGGAGTGGGAGGGAAAAAGATCGGCAGACAGAGTCCCGCCTGTTCTTACCCTCCTCCAATTGATGAATGATTACCAAAGTTAACTGGCTCTGAAACGGAACACTTACACTTTTAAAAGGGTTGGGAGGCAAGTAGTTACAATGCCTTTCTTTCTTGTATTTGTTACCATCGCTTCTGTTACTTTCCATTTTTGTTCAAATAATCGAATATTTTCTTCAATTCTAAAAGCACGGAAACATTAATCGCTCTTTTTCTCTATTTATCTATCTACATGCATGCATTTGTATATACGTATTACAATGTATGTATTGCAACATATGTACTGTATGTATATACATACACACATGCAGTAATTTTATTTATATATATAATTTTTAAATGCTTTTGAATCTGTTAATAATCGAGTGAAAAATTTGAAAAATTATATTAATTTTCAAGATACTAATTGACGAAATTTTATATTTGAAAAATGATTAAAAACATTTATTTTATATTTAAATACTACAAACTGATGTATTCTTAAATAATATTAAAAAATTTGACAATAATATCAGTAATGTTCGAAATAAGCATTGAATAATTCTTTTAACCAAAACCTTACATATAAAAACAAAAATTTCAGAATCGCAATAATTTTTATTAAATAATAATTAATTTACCAAAGATTTATCTTTTTAATGTTAATATTGAATAATTATAATCATTAGAGTATAAAAGATATATAAAATATACTATATACCTAATAATTCAAAATTGGAGTGTTTATATATATTTATTTGATATAACAGATTAGAACGAATTATTACTTAATATAATAGATTAATTCTTGAAATAAATGAATTATTATATTTAAATATCTAAATGTATAAGTTACCAATAAATTCTTTAATACAAAGTTACAAAGGATTACTTTGTCAATCAATGATACAAAAAATTATATTTGCCAAATATTTATAGATGTAACAAGTGCTTTTGTCATACTAAATTAAAAAGTAGTCATTAATTTATATATTATTAGAACTCAAATATATATATTTTAATTATTTTGATGTACAACTATGCACATGAGCATATATACATTATATATTCAAATATCACAAAATAATTGTAATGTAATAAAAATTATTACACAATACTATATATATATATATATATATATAAATTAATTCTTGAAGTAATTGAACTTCTTTTATTTTAGATAATGAAAACAAATTATAATTTTATTCACTTATAATAACAAAATATTTAATTATTTAATTATGAATTATTTGTGTGGTTCATATTTTTAAAAAAAGTCTTAATAAAAAAACAATTTTAAAAAATTCATCGTATTATATAAAATATTATAATTTTATTTTTTATTTATTATACAAATATTTTTTAAAAATTAATATTTTATTTTTCAGTTACACTTTTTTTAATAATAACCATTTAACAAATAACAACAAAATAATTATTCATATTAACTACTGCAATGATGTTTCAGCATTTAAAGAAAACAATTGCAATTTCATAAAAAAAATTTCTGTATATTATTAATTATACAATTAAACATAACATATTTAAAGTTTTTGTCAAAATAAAATTAATTAAAATAATGATCATTACATTAACAAAAGTTATCTATAATCAGCAAGTGCAGAACGGATTCTTCTATCATTTTAAATAATTTTTTTTATGAAAAATGCCATATTCAACGTAATTATGAATACAAAATTAGTATGTACTTAACTCTTAATAATATATTTATGATTCGAATTAATGACTTCGAATTAAATTTATTAAGGCTATTTTTTCTTTGTAACGATAATTTAAATAATATAATTAAAATTATATAATTGAGGAAAATCATTGGTGAAGTTTATTATTAAAATTATTAAGTTGTAACTGAAATTTGAAAGTGAAGTAATTAATGATCGTTTATAAACAATGTAAAATTCAATTTCTTGATAACACAAAAAATAATATATAATCGCAAAAATGCCAATATATAAATTCCAACATTTCTTATTTTTACGACGTAGCTGTAAAGTAATGATTATTTTTTTAATTTTAAATGAATTTTCATATAAAATATATTTAGTAATAAGGCCAATTTAAGATAAGATAATATTTATATAAATATATTACTCAATTTAATTATTATTCAACGTTTTTTAATTGTTCCAAACACTCGGACGCTAAAACTTCAATACTTGCTACTTTGGACAACTTCTTGTAAATAAATAAAAAATGTCTGCTAAATAATTCAAAAACTAAAAATTGGATTTTTGTATAATCTTTTAAAAAATTAATTCTTTGCATAATTTCATAAATATATATATATGTATATTCTCCACTGTGTGTTAAACGATAAATAATAATTATAACTTATTTGTTAAAGTTATATATATAATTTTTTATTTAACGACTATGATTATATTTTATACCGTATATTTCTATAATATTGAATTAAATATTTAATATAAATTGAAACATTTTATATTATCTATAATAAACTATGATAAAAATTACAATCTATTTATTAAATTGTTTAACTTTTATTTTTTACTCTAAATAATGTCAAAACAAATGTCTATGTATTAAATCTTGGCAAGTATTAAAATAAAATAAATTTAAAGGAAATATTTGTATTTGTTAAATAATATACCTTTTATTTATTGAATATATAAAAAATTTTAATAGTTACATTCAAATATTCAAAATAAAATTAAAAAAGTTTTTATTGGGTTATACAAAGATAAATATTAAATATTCCAAGATTTCATTGATTGGCTATATAATTAATGCATTAATGTTTATATAAAACTATTTTCAAATTCAAATAAATTTATTTATATTTTTTAAGTAATCAGTTATGCATATTCAGATGTTTTTATTAAAAGAAACATAAATATTAAAATTTTATTTAAGATTTATTTATTAACATACATATTCTAGTCATCTTTTCAGAATCAACTTTAAAAATTCTTGTGTAGATAAAAGTATGTTTTATTTCGAGTATTTCTAACTCAATTTTGTATATATTTCATACATATTTGTGTAAATATTGAGATAGCCATTAGAACTTTGGAAAATGTTTCGTAATATTTTGAAAAACTCATAAATCATTAAATATTCTAATACAGTGATTCATCTAAAAGCACAAATGTCTATTTTTCATTACTGATATTTTTCTTAAATAATTAATAACTCAACAGTTTGCATAGCGGACTCAATACATACAGCACTCTATCTAATCTTTATACAAATATGCATATATGTGTATGAGAGAGAAAGAGAGAGAGAGAGAGAGAGAGAGAGAGAGAGAGAGGACAGACAGAAGGTTCGTGTTAACGATAAATCACGATAAATATGTTTGCCTGGAAGTATATAAAAAAAAAGAGAAGTGGATTGAGAGAAACCGTCTGCACTACATCGCGAATATATACTAATACACTTTCATATAAGTTACATATACATAAGAGAAAGAAAGAGAGAACAGAATGTAGAAATGTAGAAGAAGAGTAAAAGGACTCAATCGAGCCAGAAAAAAAAACAATTAAAGGAAGAAGAAAGAGAAATACGATATTAAAAGCGAGGTAGAGAGCGAGAAACAGATATGGTCAAATGGATACGAACTGATATAAATGCATTCGTTGCCTCCCTGGGGCCAGAACTCTTATACGTATCTTTTCCTTGTATATGTATTACGATCGCTTAAGTCCCATACTAGCCCTCCAGTGATCCATCGCTACAAATTCTACGAAGTCTCTCTTCGAGCCCTGAAGCGTTCCTTACCTGATCTTCTTCGACTAATGAGCCTCATAAAAATAAGTGCAAAGTGTACTCTAATAAACACTCGATGTATTGGTAACGATGTATCTGTCTTTTTTTTCATTGATTTTATATCTTATTTTTATTCATTATTTCATTTACCACAAAAGATAATAATTCTTAATAATATGAATAATTTTCATATAGCGATAATAAGCATAATACACTTCGTTTTCTTAAGGCAAATATTAATAGAAAATTTATTGTATTTTACTGAAAATAAAAACATTTTAATATCTATAAATAATAAAATGAGTAGTAAAAAAATTAAACTTTATATCTCCATGATTATTTCCAAAACACTAAATTACTTACAGTGCAATACGTTAACAAAAAAAAAAAAAGAAGAAATACAATATACGACATACATATGTGACTACAATTGACTCTATTTTAGAGAGATAGTCAACATTTTAATCTGATTACTTTCAAAAACTTTAAAATTAAATTATCTTAATGAAACAAATATTCTTTTGTAGTTATTTTTAATGAGCAGTAGCGTAAAATTGGTTATTCTAAAAAATTAATTAAACTAGAAGTGTAGACAATTTGTGGCGTATCGAGGCGAATATTATGTTTAAATACTACATTAATTTTAACAGTAAAAATTAATGTATAAACATTTATAAATGTTAATCGCATTGATACATATTATAAAAACTTACCTCATCGTCAATTTTTTTAAATTCTACGTCATCTTCGTCAACTTCAAAATATAATTCTGATGATGTAACCGAAATTATTCCAGGTGCAACAATTCCAGGAGCTATAAGTTTTCCCTTTGTACTAATATTTACTGGACCTGACCCGAAATATAAATATATAAATATATATATACATACATATAATGTTATATTATATAATACTATGTATGAATTTAAAAATATTTGAATTTGACTATAATTACCAATAATATGATTTTATACTAATGTTTTAATAAATTATAAATAACAGTAATTTTTTTAATAGGTGTTTACTCAAATGTTTGTTTTAAATACCAAATATTATGAGAATTTTTGTATAAAATAGTTTTTGGACAATTAAAAGCAGTTATGCATATCAGTTTCGATTATATATTTAATTAGAAATACGTGGCATTAATAACAGTTATCAACTCTATTATATTTACTTTAATATATTTTATTATTTTAATTATTAAGAAAATAAGAAAATAATTTTATTATCTTGAAAATTAAAATGATTTTAAGAACATAATCTAACAATAATAATAACTTCATTTTCATTTAATTTTTATGAATAAAATAGAACTAAAATATTTTTTAATTACCATAAAAGAAAATAAATGGATAATAGTAAATCATTCGTTTCCATACCGACTAGGTCAGCATCAAGATCTCTGTCATCGGTTAATAGTTCACTATCATCCATAAGATCCGTAGATTGCAGTTGCTGTTGATGAACTCTAGAAGCAGCAAGATGTGCATGGAATTCTTCACGGGCTTGAAGAATTGCATCCTCGGGGGCTCCATGCTCTATGGCGGCTTTTAAAGTTGCTTCAGGATGACTCGAGCCTAATGGATTATGCACAAATCTTTTCCGCCTGCGGGCATCATCTTCCCAAGCATCCAATTTCCAGTATTCTGATAGTCTATAATTCCAAAACATGAATAGGTTAATAAATAAATATTAACTTAAACCTATTAAATTGAATATAAATAAATAAATAAATATTATAATGATTATAAACATAGTATATATGTTCGATATAAAATAAATGTTTAATTTAATTTCATACATAATTAAGGTTTCCTGGTGCTATTGTTTATATAGGTCATTTTAGAAATGAAATTAAAAAAAAAAATTTGTTTTTACATTATAATATATATTACAAATTTTTAATTACAACTTCAAGCTATTATCAATATATACATTTAAAAATCTGAATGATATATATTTTTATGCATATTATTAATTATCAAATAATTAAATATGAACACTTTACTTTTATATATAAATACAAATACTATACTATAAAAATAAGTCTGTTTTTTTTAGTTGAATAGATTACAAAAAGACCTCACCTAGCAGCAATGGGATCCATGTAACCCCAAGCTCCGTGTTTATTCGAAAGAATATTACGAATTTTTTCTAGTAATCTACTAGCAATAACATTATCTCGCCTTCTAGCCGCAGTAATTAAATGGTCGCATGTTCGTTCCTCTTCACGACGGTCTAATAGAGTTTGAGCACATTGTGTCTACAACAAATATATGATTAAAAAATTAAAAAAAAACTAAATTAAAACTTGATCCTATTCCTTGTATTCATACAATTAGCAATTTTTTCTTAATTTATCGAAAATTTTAATTAGTGTTTATACTTTTTACAAAAGTATAGAATAGTTTATAATACTAATATTAATATGTTAAAAGTTATACCTCGAAATCAGCATGCTTAAGTACATCATCAGCACGCATTCTATTCAAAATGAATTCTGCTTCATTAGCAACCCGTACTATATGATCTTTCATTGCGTGAGATAAAAGCCTAAAAATTATTTATTTAATAAAATACTCGTATAATGCTATTTTAAAAAATATATTTGAATATTCAAGAGTTCTAACCTTCCTTCGTTTATGAGTTCAATAAAAGCAAGTCCAGCATGTTTTTGAAGAGAATTTTGCCATTCTTGAGAGCATAGAAGCATCACAAGTTCAACGACAGAATTACTATTTTTGAACGTCGTTAAACCTTAAATGTGAATAATAAAATTATTTAAAAAATTATCTATAAAAAATTGAAGCGAATATAATAATATTATTATTTTTTATGTTATAAATTTCTTACAAAATCCAATTCAATGATCTTTATTGGAAACATTATTAATGCATACATTAATAAAGACATTTCAAATATAAGTAACCAATAATAACTTAATATTTTATAACCAAATAATAGTTCATTTCTAAAATTATATGCGATATATATTTTATATCAAATATATCTTTAATACAGTCAATTAATCGTTTATAAAATGTATAGATTTATGTTTATATTATTATAGTTTACAAAAATCTTGATTTAACTATTTATTTGAAAACTTTTGATAAAATATTCAAATACTTTAAAAATTATCGAGAAAAATTTACGATAAATTTGTTGATACCTTTGTAAATTTTGATTATTAACTGTAATTTTTTTACATAAAATATATGTATTAACCAAAAATTCACTAAGAAACTATTATCGTTGATCGTATGCTAATAATTACTTAAATATTGGAGTTAATTTAGATCAATTAGGTAAATTGAAAAAATTAACTATGCAAATATATGAATAAAAAATTTTCAATTATATTATCACACATGTATATATTATTGATATTCAATGTATCTTTATAATATTATTTTATTAAAATGACAAACTCTAAATATTTTTGTAGAAAATAAAAATGTATATGTAGGTATGACATATGCCGATCTTATTACCTTTAAATTTTTATGAGTACGGATAAATTAATGTAATAATCGATAGTTATTTTACACATTTAAATTATGATGACACTCATATTATTATTACCTTTTCCTTCCATTAATAATTCTTGACCATGCGAGCCAACCAGTGTTTTAGACAAAAAAGGAGCGAAATCAACCATAATTTCACGCAAAAGTGGACATACAGAACCTAGAGCCATCTCTAATTTTTGGGTCAGAGAAGCTTCGCGTGAAGGTGTCGGCACTGGTAGATGATTTTCCAAACTTTTGATGGATAAATCATCGGGACGTGAGGATGCGACTGTCACCAGGTGGTCTGGTACACGCATTACCGAAATTTCCGCTGTAGGTTTTTCACCTCGTTCAGAATTATCGAGAATTTCTTGAACTGGTATACTATCCTCATTATTTGATAGTACATCTACGATAAAAATACAGAATTCCATGTAAATTTGTGATTTAATTATTAATTATAATTAAAATTTGTTATATTCAATCAAATTTCATAATCTCTAAATATAATATTTTTAAAATACAGTTGCTGTCTGACTGAATACGTATGCATCAGTAAATGGATGTAAAAATTATTTAATAATTACATTTATTTTTATAATATTTCGGGATTTCTTTTGCTGAACAATTATAAAATATTATTATAAAAGGATTTATAATTATAAAATATAATTACAAATGTATTTTTTTAAACGTTAATTTTTTAAAAGATCAATAATAAAAAAACATATTTGGTGAACATTATTTCATTACTTTTTTGTTTTAATATAATTATAGCATTACGTACCTTCTGAATGGACGATATTATGAATATTTCTTGGGTCATCGCGATCATTCATAACAGCATCACCTTCTTCATTAAGGTTTACATCAGTCCAAGCTTCTTCTGATGAATTATGTTTATTTTCATTATCCGTTGTTATTTCGGATGGACTCCCATCAGCAGTGGCGTTATTACGATGCATACTTTCTTCACTTGAATCATTGCTCTAAAAGTATTATTTGCAATTTGGAAATTGGTTTATGATATTCTATTGGACTTACTGTAAAATCTTATAAAAAATTTCGTTTATTTTTAATACGTAGATAATCATAAAGCTTTAGATACGATGTAATTTGTTAAATGTTCTTATTAAAAAGAAGAATACGATTAATTATAATTGTAAAACTTTATTCGCCTTATTAATTAATTACATTAACTCTTTCGAAATAAAAATAAGCCTGCGTATATTTTCCATTTTTAACTATATTCTATTTTATTAAATTATGTTAGTCATTTCTATTTATATGTTATTTATTACATTAATAACTGACTTAAATAAGTGCAAAATCATTACCATACTTTGCTATTAAAATGTGTCTAAACTTCTATTTCTATGAAAACTATATAAATAATTTACTACAAATATTACAAATATTATTAATATATTCAAACTTGTATCCATTTATCATTGTATGATCATGCAATGAGAATAATTAAAATAAAGTATAATCAGATTAAAGATATACTACAGGAAAATGCAAATCATTTGTATATAGTAGAAAAATTAATAAATCTAAAACATAATACTTTTAAATATAAAGATCACACTTTAAGGGTTTATAAAACTTTATTAAAGTTCTCGTAAAAAAGTAAGAGAGAGAGAGAGAGGGGGGGGGGAGAGAGTGAGTGAGTGAGAGAGAGAGACAGGTAGACGAAGAAATAACATCTATTGGCTTACAAAAGGTAGAATAAATATTACATGAATACCTTTAATTTAGTTAAAGGTGCTTAACCATAAAATATGTGTTTTCTATTACAAAAATCTTTAATTTTGTTTCATACGATATGTGAAAAATATTGTACTTTTATAAATATTAATATTTTTAATTTAAATTTATAAGTTAAAGAAAAGAAATTCATTATACATATACCCATTAAAAAAAGGTATAATCACCGGGCATTGATAATTATTTTGGTAGTATATTTTTAATTTAAAAAGTACAACATTAATTTCTTTGAAAAAATATTTGTAAATAATGTAACAATGTGGATATAAATTTCTGCACTTCAGATTGTATGTGCATTTTCAATAATATTATCATTCAGATTCCCGTAGTTTACCTGTGGCTTGCATGGCAGTGGTTCAATTGTTGTGGTAGAGCAAAATGTTGTTTCCGTCAAGGTGTAATTTTCGAGGATTGTCCTTGAGAGAGGTACACCACTGTGGCCACCCTTTAGTACCAGATGTTTGTACGTATATTAAGTACAAATATAGTTTTATATGAAGAATACAAAAGAAAATTTTGCACATATCTTAAATTATTAATTTAAATTCATTCCCCATTCTTTTTATCATAATATTTAAAACTACCTAGGATTTCAAAAATATTATCTTTTTAATATGATGGTTGTCAAAATTAATTATTTTTCATTGCTTGTATTTGTTATATTTCTATCTTATTAGTTATTATTATTTAATAAAAACTATTTGTTTTAATATGTAGCAGTAAAGATTTAAGTAATAGAACAACACACAAAACTTTACTCGAATTTCGATTTTTTTATTTTTTAGTAACTAATAAAACAGATTATATCATATTTTAAATTTACATATAATCTAATAAATGTATGAATAAATAATTATAATAAACTTATTACTTACAATAATTATTTTTTTCAAATTTATTCTAATATTATTTCAGAATTACTGTATTTTAAAATTTTGTACATTAATGTATATAAATATAATTCTTAAAAAATCGAATCTAAAATATTTATATATAAGTCTTTAAATTAGTATTATTTTGTATATCCATTATACATGTATTAATGAAACGTAAACACGTAATTTTTTATTTTGAAAAAATAAGTGTTTATAAATTTAGAATTTGACTATTAATTACGATTTTTCATAAAAAAATATGTTACTTATTTATGGACATAAAATATAAGAAAACACGAAAGTTTATTAATATTTTTATTACTATTTTTTAGATAATACTTACAAACTAATAAGAGATTTAATTTTCTAAAAATATTATTATGATAATACTATAAATTAACCTTTGATTATAATATATATTCATATGGACGTGAAAGATTTTTTTTCAATTTAATTTTAATTTTGTTTATTGATATAGATCTACGAACTCGTGTGCGATTTTGATTAAAATAAAATTTAATAATTATAAAAATCATCTATTGTTTTAAAATATTAACTATAGTAATTTTAGAATTATTTCAAATCTAGTGTATAAATGAATTTACTTTCTAATATAGTACTAAAAATGTTAAATATTCACATTGATATTGTAGCTTATATTGTATTGAAATAATGAATACAATAATATTTTCATACAGCATGCAAACATTATTTAAAAAGAATAACAGTATAATAAAATAATCATAAACTTTGATAGTACTTATTACGTTGTTTATTCTAAATTACAATACATGCATTAAGAAAAAATAAAAACAACCAAATTAATATATTTTCACTCGCAAAAATGTTATTCATGTAGTATAGAAAATATAAAAAACAAAATTCTTATCAACGTGCAATTCTACTAAATGTATATATATTCTTTTTGATTACTTAATATACTTAAATAGATATATGCACTTTAAAAATTATACAAATGTCATTTTAAATACTTATATTTTAAATATTTACATGTAGTATTTGGTTTCAAAACAATTATATTATATTATAATATATATAAATATATTATACAAAATATGAAGAATAAAGTATATTTTATACAAACAATAATAAACGTTACCTTTGTGGAAGGTGGACCAGAAGATGGAATATCTTGATCGGCCAAAATAGAGGAATTGTTTTCATCAACAATAATAACTTCGTATTCTCCATCATCTTGAGATTCAGATTGACTAATAACTCCTCCGCTTTCTAGAAGACGATGACAATTCATGATTGTATAATATATATTTAATACTTGATTCAAACTATTTATTTAATAAAATTTTAAATAATGAAATTTTATCATGCTATTCCTATTGATAAATTTCAAAATATTTCCCCTTATTCGATAAAATATAATTTTTTAAATTCTTGATTATAATTATATTATAATTAAATGTTTAATACTTTAAAAATGATAATAAGGTATTTCATTACGGGATTTAATATTTATTTCTATTTATAAAATCTTTTATATTTACATAATTTGATAAAAACCATTATTTTCCTACATTACTTACATAATAACAAAAGAACATTATTTTAGATTAAAAATATATGATTTATTACTTTATATATTTTCTTTTTAATATTTATTACACTACCAAGTTTATAAGAATTCGGGAAGCTATTAGTAATTATGGGGTTTAAATAATTTATTAAGCAACATGCAAGCATGAACGTTCACAATTAATACTATCGTAATCTACATAATCTAAATAATATTATAAATACAGAAATATATGTAGCACGGTAACGAAAAGTTAACGAAAAAAAAATTAATAAATAGGGTTTCATTTGAACAAATGTATTACTCTACATATAAATAATAATAATGTCTAATCATATAAGATAAGAAATGATTAATAAAATAATTATAATTCATTATATAAATTCTTTTTCAAATAGTAAATATAAACATTTAGAAATTAAAAATATATAAACTTCATTAACATATTTTAATTATAAACCCAAATTATTTTTCAATCAATAAAAATATTAATAATAAATGATATTGTAATATTTCACACATTTATCTTCATTTAATTATAAATTTATTCAAACATATTTTACAAAAGATTTTTTAAAAATGCTTTTTTACACATAAAGATATACATCTCTTACATTTTTATTTTAATGTCAAAATGAACGCTTTTGGCTTATAAAATTGTAATTATAATTATTTAAATTAATTCACAAGCAATAAAACACCAAGCAGTTATGCATTCGTTATAAAATTTTCTAGTTTTTAATGAGCTTTTAAAATTTGATAAAATATAAAACTACTACCTTTTATTTATCATAATCTTAAAATATTCTCATATTTTTAAACAATTTTTCTTATATTTCTATAAATATATTTTTCATTAATTAACTTTATTACATCACATTTAATAATTTTCATGAAAGCAGACAATGTCGCTTTAAAATTTATTTTATATTATTAAAAACAAAAAATAAATAAAAACATGAACATTTTATTATTATTTCAGAATATTAATTAATTAGTCATATTTAATTTGTTTATAGATTATTAATGTTACATCGATAATAATAAAAGAATAGATATGTTGAGATATTGAAATTATTTTAAAATAATCGCACGAAGCTAATTATTTATTATTTATAATTTTCCAAAGTTTTAATCTAAATTAAAAATTTAAAATGTATGCATAGCAATGAAATTCTAATGAAGTAAAAGTTAAGAAAATTTTTTATTATATGTTCCTATAAAAATTTGAATTTGTTGTAGAACATTTATAAATTAATAATATTTCAGCTGTAATATAATAATATTTTTAAATACTTAATTAATTATCATTCACAAAATCAGTTGTGAATGAATTTTAGGAAAAATAAAAGATTTATAGCCTCTAGAAAACATCAGAAAATTAAGAAAGATACAATGGAAAATATTACGAATATTTCAAACAAAATAAGTCTAGATGAAATTAAAAAGACAATACTAAAATAATGAATCTTAAAACTATACAGTTTGGCAAATAAAATGAATACTACAAAAAGGAATATTTTTAAAAATGACAGTACACATTGAAAGAGTATGCAACGCATTCCGTGATAACTTCCGTAATAGAAAGATAATTCAAACGAGCCTTTAATTACCTTGCGAACCGTAACCAGAGTTTCTATGATAGATGTTTTGGGAATGATCGATATGCTTTTGTATTGCATGATGATGATTATTATTATTATGATGATGATAATGATGATGACGATGATAACTATAATTGTTAGAGTGATGATTATAATGGTTGCTATAATGATTAGGTATGTAGTAGCTGGCGACAGAGGGATTAATCGCTTGTCGACGGCGACGGAGTGTTTGTTCTGAGACCAGTGGTAGCGGTGGGTGTTCGTGATGGTGCTGGCCGATGTGATGGTTGGCATTCGCGTTCGCGTTGGGGTGGGAACCAGGGAGGAACTGAGGATACACGTGATGCGACCATTGTGGAAATAGAGGCCGCCCTCCTCCACCGCCGTTCACGTCTGCTGTAGACAATCATAACTACGTTACCATACGCTGGCTAATTAGTTAAAAAAAAATTTTTTTCTCATGCGAGAATTCAATTCAACTATAATAATTACTTTATCAATGGTATGTCATGTATGCATCGGTAACTTAAAAACTTCATTAAAATTTCACCGAATATATATATGTATGTATATTATTTAATTTTTATTCCCCCGTAAATATAAAATAATATCAATAGTAAAAGAATAGTATTTTAATATTAAATGCTATCACATACAGATATCAAATTAACAACAAGAACAAGCTTTTATTATGAAATATTGTTTTCTGGTATTATTGTAAACCAAAACTTATATTACATATATTATATATTAAAAAACTTATAACATACATTACAAACACTGTTAACAAACATTACTTAAATATACTTTTGCAGAAATAATTTAATTAAAATCTAGAAAAAAATAGATAATTAATAACTCTCTATATTAATAATGAGTGGATCTACAATAATAAACTTGTTCTTAGTAACAAATGTAGTATATTGACAATTTTGACATTTCTGAAAAATATTAAAAAAGGAAATACATGAATATTTTAAAATTTATATACTTCTCTATTAATGTATTCTACACTATATAAAAATATTTTAAAATTAAAACAAATATCCTTTTAAATGTAATCATAATGATAGATGATAAACGTTTAATTCAGAATATATAATAATAATGAAAATAATTCTTTTAACATACCTTAAAAAATATATATATATAAATCAGATAGATAGACATTTTACTCTTCTACTTACAGAAATTCTAATCCTTTCATATATAATAAAATAATAAATAAGAATATTATAATGCTATAATTGTAAAATAGTATAATAGTATAATAGTATAATAAACAGTAAAACTCTTTTATTGCTAAAGTACCATTAAAAATTCGTAAAAAAGTGTTATTTAATATTGTAGGACAAAACATTGCAACTTAAAATAATAAATTCAGTTCAAATTATTTTTAAAACTACAAATGAAATTTTTGAAATTTATACAGCGCTATATAGATTTTATATTGTACTATTGTATAAATAGTATAATAAATAAATATAAATAAATGAAATTTTGATATAATATAAATTTATATTTATATTTATATTACATTTTTCATTGAAATTTATATTGAATTTAAAGAATTAAGAATTTAAATTTCAGTGAATTACATATCATAAATCTCAACATCTAATATTAATTAAAACTATATTAAATTAATACAAATAAAAATGTAAAAGAATCTTTGTAGTTTATTAGATATTATAAATTAACTTTCATTCATAGAAATTATAATATCATCAATATATTTGAAAAATGTCTAAAGTATAATTTCATATAGTTGATTTTCCGTATATTACATATAATGAATATTTCATATATTATATATATAACTTTAAAATTAAACATAATAAGTGCCCAACATAATTTATCTAGTCACAAAGCTTGTTTAATAGTATATATTGATTTTATATACTATAACGTATTGAAATTTTTTTTACATATGATTTTATTATTTTTTAATATTGTTGTTATTAGAAAAATATAATATATTTCTAAAGAAATAAATTAAAGTTAAAAAACTTATTAATATTCTGAAATAATAAATATAAAAGATTAAACATATAATATAATTGAATTTATTTTAATAATTATCTTATATTTAATATTTTATGCAAATCATATTGAAAATACCAAATACATCTATCATACATTATATTAATTATATAAATGTTCTAGAGCGGGAAGAAACACGATATGATAAATTACTGAAAGCCGTTTATGTATTACAGTAATAACGATATTTTATTGTTACAAATTTTTATTTAAACTATAAACTGTATTTAAAAATAAACTTAAAAATATATCTTACTTATTCATATATATTTATCATTATTGAAATGTATATGCAACTAAAATAATTATTAGTAAAATTTAGTTCTTCATAGTAGGTATTATTAAAATAATCATTATTTGTATATATATATATATATATATATTCACCTTTAAAATTGTGTACATATCCAAGCATTAAAACAATGTTTATATAATCAATAACCATAAATTGGTATTAAGTATACTAAATTTTTAAATTGAGTGAATTTAAAATTCAACTCATACAAATCTATACTTCATTTGTAACCTAATACATTTATTTATTTTTTCAATATACACAAATAAACGTAAAAGATAAATTTTAATTTCCAATGTAATTAATTAATTTAAAATAAATTATGATTTCAAACATCTAAATTTATGAAATGTAAATTTCTTTGTTATTGGAAATATTTAAGTATAATTAAAAAAATTAGACTAAATAAATTTCATTTTGATATTTGTATAATTATTTTAAACGATTTCATAAAACAGTAAAAATTATGAACAGTATTAATTCAAATATTTTTAACAGGAAACAAATGTTGTTATTCGAATTATAACTCAATACTTTGATCAAATATAAAGATCTTACAATTTTCATTATTTATAATTTAATAATTTTTATAGGAAATTAGATACACAAGGTAATATACATTACCTTTCAACATATTTTTAATTATTTTATTTTAGCATAAATTAAATTAGTCTAATTAATAATTACAATCAACGATGTTAATGTAACAGTATCTGAAACGTGACCGAACTTATAATAATTAAAAATTAAAAAAAAGTTTGAATTGATATAAATTTTTTAGACAATAAACTTTAATGAATATAAATGCTTACTTATTATTATAAATAAAAAATTAATGAAAGTGTTACTTGCCTGGTGGGCTACTAGGCCTTACATTTTCTTCATTAGTTTGTACTGTCTGCATAGGACTAGAAGGTTGCCGTTGTGAAACTGGTGGTTCTAATATATCACGATATTTTGATACCATTAATACAGAAATGAAGTAAACTATTGCCAGGGACAAAAATTGAGCCTGTTTAGTTTCTTCCTGTAAATTTTGAAAACAGAATTATATTAATGTAATATAGAAGATTTACTATGTTTTGCAGTATACTAATTATAACTCTTCTTTATAATCTATATAATGTTCAATATTATCACGACAATTGATTTCATTTATTTATTTGTCAATAGGTATTTTTACCTACTAAAATAACTTCATAAATATATAATAATAGACTTTAAATATTGATGATACTTATTCGATAAAGTATATCTTTTTTAACATCATTTAAATAAATATTTTGTAAAATGTAGTTAATGAAAAATTAACAATTAACTATTTTAAACTAATTTTCTTACTTTGAAAGGATTTTTGGATATGTTGGTATATATCCTTTCAATAATTTACAGTAATATCAAAACTATAGAAAGCGAATTAATTCAAGTTTTAATAAAATATTGTCTTACAAAGTACATTATAGATTATTTACATTTTTGTATAATTACACACATAATAGTTGTATTCTTTCTTTTTTTAATAAATATGAAAAGGTCATATTTTAATTAATAATTTTGCTATAATCTTATATAATCATGTAAAATAAGTAATAACATATGTAGAGAATACTTATAAAAAAATTTAATAAATACAAAACTCTAAATACTGAATTTCTAACGTTTATAATTGGTAATAAATAGTATAAATATAAATTAACTTAGCATAAATATTCCTTTAATAATTTTCAGTTATATAAATCACTCGTTACAGTGATTTTGGCCAATGTAAAAATATTCTTCCGCATCTACACATCCGGTTACGAACAGGAAATATATTTTCACATTTAATTGACCGTTTGACTTATCTGTAATAAACCTTAAATTTTTATGATGCGTAATTACATCTCTTCTTTTGATGCATTGATACAATCCGGAACAGAAACAAAAAGTATTATGTGAAAAGGTAAATAATATCTTGCAATTCAAGTATCAAAAGTTATAATTATAATTTGTTATTATCATTTATATAATTTTTAAAATAATATTATTAAAACTACTATATATTTGTTTAAATATTAATTTGACATAAAAAAATCAAATTATTAAAATAGAATTTGAATTGCCTGAATTAAGTAAAAATAAAAAATATATTATAATTATATAACTGTAATACTTTATTATATTTGGTTACATAGCTTTTTTTAAGAAATTTAAATAAAATTAAATTTGCTTAACATTGAAATCTTTATCTACTCTAATAACAATAATACTTAATTTTTTTCTATCAGTAAATTTATATATCTTACAATTTTATTCTGGATATTTTTTTAGGAAATTCGTCTCATAAATTTTTATGCAATAAATATACATCGTGAAAAACAACTAAGTATGAAAATGAAATGAACAAGATAAAAAAAATGGAATAATTATAAGAATTAACGTAAGCTTAAATTTAGCAAACAATTACAACTGAAGCTTCAACCGAGATTCAAATTGATGTACATTGAAGAGAGAATGTATAATTGTAGAATTATGAAAATGGGTTGTAAAATTTCTTATATTAAAAAGGTAAAAAAAAATTTTTTCTCAAATAAATATTCGATGTAGTTTAATATTCGATATATGTGAAGGTAAAATATCCATAAAATATCGGTAAAAAATAATGAAGAGGTTGCAAATAAAGTTTAAAATTATTTTGTAAAATTTTATCCAACCATTTTTTAAATATTTAGATATTTTGATAGCGTAAAGTAAGAATACATGCTGTAATAGATATTGAATACTTATGCGTTTACTTCTTATTTCTTATATCTTAAATACATGAAGATATAAGAAGTTTGCACATGGTTATGCTTTCCTTGATTATTTAATTTTTTCTTGCTTAACATACTTATTACATGTACGACTAATACTTAGCTAAATTCTGCATAAATTTATAAAAGTTAGCATTGGTAAGATATAAATGCTTCGTCATTTAGAATGAAATCGAGCACATCTACTTTATTTAATATTGGTAATTAATATAAAATATATAGAATAGAATAAATAGAATAGAATGGTAAAGAATTGAAAAAAATCAAGTATTAGTAGAAGTTATTAAAATATATCTGTTCTGTTACATATATTAAATAGAATAAAGATATGTACTATATAGAAATTGTATTATTAATTTAATAATCTGCTTATTACATTTTACATTAATTATAAAAACATTGTTCAAAATATGGAATGATATATTGTATAATTTAATCATTTTATTTACAAAAGTATTTTCTTTATATACTTAAGCTCTACTTATTTACTATTTTGATCTATAAATGTAGATAGGTATTTTATATCTATATATTTATTTTTTATTTTCAATATATATCTGATCACTTAATAATATTAATAATGTTTAGAAAATTTTTTATATATCCAGATATTTCATTTCGATAAACTAATAAGAAGAAATTGCAAAACATTAAAATAGTAGATAAAAAATTGATGTAATAAACTCATTAGTTACAATAATCTTATAAATTACATTATATATATTATTTATAATATACTTACAACATCTCTATAAATGACTGCTCGTAAACGATTTACATCCATATCCTGTAAAAGTTTTTCAGGATCTTTAACAGGACTAAGTTGGTGAGTGATATTATCCACAATATTCTGAAAAGGGATGAAATTATATATAAATATATTAATTAAGATTTTAGAGAAAATATAAAACATTGTTTTTTATTATTAAAATTCAACATTAATAACTAATATTACAGTTACATAAAATTTTAAGAAAATACTTTGTTAATTCTAGCAATTTTACTTAATACACTATTATTATGATTTATAACTATACATTCTATTTAATAAATATATGCTACTAAGTGTGAAACAAATCGTTAATAAATTATAAATAAATGAAAGGCAAATCTCTTTACGACTAATGTTAATATAATTATATGTAATATAAGTTTTTAATAAAAATATGTGACGTATTTGTATGTATTTAACATACCTTAGGTGACGTTTGAGCACCACGAATTAGTGATTGTATGTGCTGTGATTTATTACTAGTACCAATTTGTCGACCTAACATGCTGTAAGTTCTGCCACGTTCTTTACACTCTAAGCAGTTTCTAACGGCACATGTACAGACCTAAATAAGCAGTTATTTTTATCGAATATTGACGTACAAACAAGTTAATTCTAAACATATTATTTTATAATGAATAGAAATCTATTAAGACAGAATGTATATATTTGTTTTCTTATTGTAATGGTATTTAACTAATATATTTAAATTAATTAAAAGTTCAATAATCTACATTTGCTTTGAAGTAAGAATTATTTATACGTCTATTTTATTAGTTTAATAAATATTTGTAATATATTTACACAATTTTAAAAGAAATAATTTAAGATAAGAATAAATATTAAATTATGTAAAATCTAATTGATAAGTAATCCTTGTCTGTATTTTTTTTTATTTCTAACAATTATTTTATTTATATTTATTTTATATAGTAGTAGCAATAATTAAAATATAAAATACAATAACCAAATACTATTTAAATGTATTAAGAATCAAAATAATAAATATTTTCGTATTAAAACTATTTGTACTATATTCTATTACTAAAAGAATGTGAATACTATTTATAAGTACGAACCAATCGTAAGCATTGCCTTAATATTCCACCACTCGACATATTCTTCTCAGCTTCTAATTCCCCAAAATTTAAAGAACTTGCAAAAATAAGTACGTCCGCCATATTAACAAGTCTTTGAAGAAAAGAAACGGCAACTTCGATTGGCATCCCTTGTGTAGGTTCAATTACCTCCATTTCGCTCTTAAAAATTATAATATCTATTTAATTAGTAATTTTTAATATTTATTATATAATTGATTAGTAAATAGTTCAATTTAATTTATAACGAGTATATTTAAATTGGTAAATACAAAGTTAATATATATTTATTGTTAACAAGATAATACAATCTATCTTAAATATATTAAAAATTAGAAACATACATTGGGTGAGGTAGCAGATGCCAGTAATGGTAAAAGTCCACCACATGCAATTATTAAATTGTCAGCTAATTGTGAAATTAAGTGCACAGTATTAACAACAAATATTGCATTGTCACTGCTATTAACAAAGTCCAACACTGATTTTGTTGAATGGCTAAAATGGTGATACAATTTGAATGTATATATGTATATATATTTTTTTTTCACAAAATTAAAAGCAATAATTATCAAAATTATACCTTCGCCAAACTTGAATATCAGTTTCTAAAGAAAATAATACATCAGATAGTAATCTTTGATGAATATAGGACCATTTGAATTCTGGTATTCTGAAAGGTGGTCTCGACGGCCCTGGACTAAACATAGGTCTTGTGGAGGGATTTGTTTTCATCGTTCTTTTAGGCTCTTTTGATAAAAAATACATATTATCACGCAAAAATTGTTGAATTTATTTATAAATTATATAATTAACATAATTATTCAATAAGAATTAAATATACAATTATTCAATTATTATATATAATTTTGATATAAATTTAAGTACATAATTTTTAATCAATTATTTCGAAATTTCAAGAAAATGATTATTCATAAATTTATTTAAAATTTTGATATCTTAGTAATATTAATCAATTAAATATTTATATTAAATCTTAAATAAATAATTCCTAAAAATGATTGTATGCATAAAATAAGTATACTAAACTCCTACCAAAATGATTTGATTCAACTTGCGTCGATGTAGAGGCACTCCTTGGTCGTTTTTGAGGCGAGAAATTCTTCCTTTGAGATACGGAGGCATGTTCGCTATCGTCTTCTCGACTCAAATTTTCCGTTGATACATTAGGTAAACTAGATCTACGTCTATTCAAGTTGGTGGTTATCACATGCTCAAAAACACCATTAGTTATCAACGGATTTTCATTGACAATTACGTCGGTATCGGCATTTTGAGGTACAATACCATCAGTTAAGATTTTTGCTGTCGCATCATAAACTGTTGATATTGTTGGAATTTGCTTTTTGGCATTTGGCACTTTCACCGTATTCTCTAGAGAACTTTCAATAACACTGCTATTACTACAAACTTCACTACAATCTACAACTGCGGCATCATTTGTCGTCTGTAATAAAGTAGTCGAGATCACTTCTTCCTCATTATCACTTATATTAATAGAAATTATGGACGGCTCCTTTATATCGTGCTCAATTATGATTTCATTGTCAGTACTATCAATAACAGCACTTTTGTTTTCACTTTTCTCTGCTACATATTCATCATTTATCATTGAATCATTTGTTGTAATTATATTTGTATTTTCATTCTCAATTTCATTATTTGAAAAGTCTATATTTTTACTACTTATCGTACAGCTAATAGAGCTATTTGAATTTTCAATTTCTTCTTTTATATTAATAGACTGATTTTTATCAAATTCTATTGCATTTGGAATTGAAACTACCTCTTCAATTAATTCCTCTTTGAATTCCTTTATTTTATTTTCCTGATCTTTAATAGAACTTATATTTTCGGATTCAATTTCATAGACATTAGAAACTGTAGTAAGATTAATTTCATCAACAGTTTCAGATGTTTCTAATTTTTTATCTTCAGATATCTCTTCTATACTCGTCCCAGTAGCATTAATTTCGGTACCGGTAACAGATTTTGCATGGGTATCTTTATTTTCATTTGAGACTTCTATGATTTTTTTAGGTAACACTGAACAAACTTCATTAAAACTACCTTCAGATATTTTAATCTCTGATTTTTTAGAACACCTTATCGTAGTTTCCTTTGAAGTAGTAGATTCCTTATTTTTTAAGGTAGAATTATTATCTTGTGACTTATTTTCACTTATTTCCAAATTTGTCTGATTACATTCATTTTCAACGGCAAGTGTAACAAAAGATAATTGAATTGATTTAGTACTGTCCTTAACAGTTGTTAATGAATGCACGTTATTTTTGTTTTCTCGTTTGCATATGCTTTCATTTTTTGATTTTTCATCAATTAATGAATTCGAATTCGACTCTTCGACTTTCTGAAGATTGTTGAAAATTTCACTAGCGCTATTGATTGACGCTGAATTATTTGTTTCTTGTGTTTGTAGTGAAATTTCATTGTTACTCTTTTCAAAAATAGTTATTGAATCTATATGAGTGGTTACATTCAGTGTAGTTAATGTAACATCATGTACATCATTCAAATGTGAATCTGAGGATGCTATCATATTGTCTTGTTGGACTTCGTTAATTACTTCATGTCGAGGAAAAATTATAGCTGGACTACCATCACTCTCTGTATTGTCTACTGAGTTTAGATCACAACTACAAGACTCATCTAATCGATCATTTGTTTCTATTACATTATACTCCTATAAAAAAGAAATCTCAATTTTAGTCATTTTGCTAACTTATTAAAAGGCAAATGATTATATTGTCTATTTTATAAAAAGTTGATCTTTAATATAAAAATCTTTTTAAATATCTAACTTAAAATTTAGATTTTTTTATTAAACATATTTAGGTCATTTAAAAATTTTAAAAAATATATAATCTACATAAACTTACTAATATTGGTAATTTAAATAATAAAAATAAAGTACGTTTTTTATTGAAAGAATTTGATAAATAATTAATATATAATTATAGAATTATAATCTTTAATTAATTTTAAAAATACATTAAGGCAACTTAGAAAATTAAAAAAAAAATTATTGTAAATTATGTAAAAAAAAAACTGCATTCTTTTGTATAAAAATAAAAAAACTTCTGTTGATAGGATTTTTGAAAACCTAAGTGTAGCGATATATTAACAATATATTATTAATTATATACTTATTACAATTTTATTTAATTTTATATGTAGTGAAATATATAGATATATAAGTATATTTTATTAATATTTGTAAATAAATTTTAAAATTGCATATTTATATTGTATTATTATTGTAATTTATACATAATAATAATAATAATAATAATAATAATAATAATAATAATAATAATAATAATAAAGTATTTTTATAAAAATAAATATGTGAATTACTTTGTAATTGTTATTAACATGCTGCAATTCTTGAGATTGATCATTTAACCAATGAGTTGAACGAGTATATCCATTATTCACTGAATGCTGTTGATCCCAACCTGATATCGTGCTAATTGGCCTCTGTTGTCTAACTTCAGGATCAGTAATATTATCCGATCGCTGTCTCTCATAGTGTTCATACATTTGAGCAAATTGCAATTTAAATTCTTCATAGGATACCTATAAAAGCAAATTTTTATAATAAATAATTAATTTAAATTTATTTGTTTTTAATTTACTTTTAAATAATATGAACAATATTTATAGTTTTGAATCCAAGTAGTATCATGCATGTAATTATTAATTATTAATATATTTTAATTAAGGAAAATAATTTAATTATTTTACACACTTTTGAATGTACAATAGCCAGCGTATCAACCCAAACACGCCAACCTCCATATTCATGTTTGATTGCATGATGAAGAAGCATTCGAAATAAAGAATAAACCATATCTGAAATTTTTTGTTCTTCTGTGTTTTTTGGATGAATATAAGCCATTGCTATTAGCCACTCTTGCCAAACAGACATTTGCAAGACTGTTCGGCGATTTTCACGATTATTGTTACAAAGAAGAGTCATATCGGACAGGAAAAGTTTTTTTACCTCTAGCAGTTGCTCCGTTTGTTTTGATTGCCTAATGAGTGTTGCAATAACTTTCAAAATCACTGAAAATATATAAATCATAAATAATATATCATATCATATATATATATATATGTGTGTTTGTGTGTGTGTGTGTATAAAAGATAAAAAAAATATATAAAAGAAAATATAAAAATAAGTATATAATGTACTTGGATTTTCTAGTCGATAATGTGACTCCGGTTCCGGATGCCTTGTATATAAAATTTGTTGACTAATGTGTTCTGTCATGATCTAAATAATAAAGATTTGTTAAATTAATCTTCGTACGATATTTTATTTATCATATTAAGAAATGATCTACTAACCTCATATAAAACATTGTATGTAGGTAGAGTAAGGGTTTCTTCGTTCAAAAGTAATCTTTCTGCCAGTAACGTATACAAATTGTAAGGACTCATAACATCGTACTTTCTTCTGGAAATCAAAAGAATAATTTGCACTTAAATTTAAATAAGAATGTAATAATTAATCATGTCAATTATTAATTTTTACTTATGTGTACTGCGACTGAGAAAAAATCCAAGCAATTTTAATGCCTGTAACCTGATTAATTGACTTTCAGCTGCTAAAAGTTTGAAGATGGTTCTAACGCCTTGTTTTGTGTCAAAAGCTGGAACCATAGATGATGGGTGTTCAGACATTAATGATATAAGCATTTGTAATACATCATGTAAATTTTCATCCTGTAAAATAATTTTTCATTAAAAAATAATATATTAGTATTACATCTTATTAGAGAAATTTGCAAAATTACCTCATGCATTGTAGTTAAATAATTTAAAATACTTTGCAATTCATCATCTTTAACACCATTTCCAATCATAATTAGTTGCTTTAAAAAAAGTGAAATATATGATCGTATTGTCAAAATATCCTTCTGTTGAGGTCTTGGTCCATCTTTTGTAAACAAACATTAATTTTTATAAATTATTAATGAAATATAATAAACAAATTATTTTTACGAATAAAATTTAATTGTAAATAACACATTAAAATAATTAATAAATATGTTTAATATGAGGAACATAATATATATTTAATCAATTGTCAACGATTAAATTTATAACACAACTAATATAATGATTTTTAATTTGATTTTTAATTTGATTTTTAATTTGAACCAAAGCTGAATGCCTCGATGGAATCAATTAAACGATTCTCATCAATTTCAAGCTATGAAAGAAATTGGCTCTTGATTGCTGATTCACGGTTTTCTCCATTATGTTTAATAATTTTTAAAAATTAAGTTGTTATATAACTATTTTAAAATACAAAACTGATTAAAAAATAATCAATTTATTTAATACAAATATTGTAAAAGTATAACTATGGTGTAATATTTTTTATAATATAAAAGTAATAAGCAAAATATAAAATTGATATATGCTTACCCAATCCCTTTGGCGTAATACCACTTTTGCTTCGAGGACTTGTCACCCAATAATAGTACTTGAGTGTGTGGACTGTTTGCAATACGGTGGAAACGCGTCTAACATTGGAATATATCTGTGTGTCGCTTAAAAATTCAGTAGCTAAATATGAATAAAGACGTGTCTGGACGGGTGCTGGCGTATAAATCCACAAGGCTGGATTAAACAGGACATGATCCAATAACTGCCACATCAAGAATGCAAAATAAAAAGACTATATCGATATGGATCTATATGTTCATAAATCAAATTAATCTGATTTAGATATTTAAGTTACTGAATATTTATATATTAAAAATTTGTGAATGTTCTTTGATTCATATCGCCAAATTGAATAATATTAATGTAATGATTAATTTCTTATACATTACAAAATAAAAAAATTTATTACAGTATCACATATCAAAAATTTTATTGAAAAATATTTATAAAATAAATTGAATTATGATTTGAGATAATGATAAATTTATCTTTGAATGATTACATAATTAATTATCAAACAAATGCTATATATTCTTAATTTTTATTATTCAAATAATCTGAGTTCAAAATAAAAAAATTTCTACATGCCTAAAATAAATTTATATAAAATACCTGTTTCAATAAGAGATCACTATTAGCACTGAGACATGTGACTAAATGTTTTGTGAGTTCCAAAAAAGAAGCAAGCACTTCTATAGTAAGATGCTCTCGACTCGCTCTTTGAAGCATGTAACTAATTACGAGGAACCCTCTATTTTGCACCATGTGTTGTTGCACTGTTTGTGAACTTTCTACCAAGTCGCAAATAAATCCCAATAGTTTTGAACTATAAAAAAATCATTTATTTTAAATAAAATATGTTCATTACTTTGGTGATAAATACTTTTTTAAAGAATTTTATGAATCTACATTACAGAATCTTTATACAATATCAATTTTTAATTTTTTTTTACTCTAAAATATATCAATACTAAAATTGCATAAAATAATAACTTTAAAATAAAAAGTTTATTGAAAGAAAAAAAACTATCTTTGTAAATTCATATTATAGATTTTATTTTTAAGTCTTTATTACCATAAAGTTGGATCTCGTTTTATATCATTAGACGCAATACAGTCATAAGGCATATCTAACTGTGAAAATAACGGAAAAAGAACTTGAATTCCACCAATGGAATTCAATGTGCTATGAATGGAGTGTGTTATTACAGCTTTAACATCCTGAAAATATATTAATTATCTTGAATAATAATCATTTTATAAAAATTAAAATCAAATTAAGTAGAATAAAAAGGAATAATCATTAAAAAGTTAAATATTTTGGTAGTTATGTATTATTATAGCTCATACATTTATAATAATATATTATTTAAAAGATATAAATTTCTACAAATATTATTTAAATGCAAATATTTAAAATTTATTTCTTCAATTATATGGTTGTATTAATTAATAGTTTAAAATAATGTATTGATTACTACTATTAAGCACAATAAACTTAATTAGACCTGTAACATTAAAGCGTGTGGAGTATGTACAAAATAAGATGCATTTCCTTTTGGTGAACTCTGAAGACATAATTGAGAGTCAGTTGCCACCGGATTATACATGAACATAATCGCATTAGACAATTTTCCATCATACAGTACCTGCAGTAAAGTAATTTCTATTAACATATTAAATAGTAATAAAAAAATCAAAGGATTCTAATATGTAAAGCAAAAGAAACAAAAAGATTAAAAATAAATCATGTAAAATATATAAATGCATGCTTGAAATGAACAAACCATTCTAAATACATTAAACTGATATTATAATACAGGCTTTTATAAACATAAAAAATATATAATTACAACAAAAATGATAAAAGTAAGAATAGCAAATTAAAAATTAACAACCAACGTTAGCCTAATCTCTTATTATATTACAGTACATCAACATAGTTCTCTAGCTATTCTAAGCCACTTAAAATAAGTAATAATAAGAAATAATATTTAAAAAAAAAAAACTAATCAATCAATTAATAATTTTTAAATATGTATAAAGGTAATAAAAATATAAAAATGATACGTTTCACGTAGCTCAAATTAACGATGTTTTTAAAAAAACATCAAAAAAAAATTTTAAAAATAAAATATTTTATTCGTTGAGTATTTACCTTTAATGAAGGTGAACGTAGTAAACAGACACAGATATATTAATAAAAATAAATGTCAAATAATAGTAATTGTCAAAATGTAAAATAAAACAAAAACAAAAATAGAATGCTTACAGTCATTATACTTTGATCCACCATGCTTGTGAGTTCCTGCTCACCACTCACCCTTTTATGATTATCGGGAAGATTTAAGTAACACTCATTATCGAACCGGAACTGACTCTGAAAAAAAGCTTATATATTATACAAAAATTTATAAACGAAAAAATATTAATATAATGACTTCTTATTTATTTAAAATATAATTTAATTACATATTTTTAAAATATCGAATGCGACAAATTATTAAATCTAAAAAATAATTTTAAATATATTTTAGTTTAATTAAAGCGCTTTTTAAAAGATTTTATTCATTTTTAAAAATTTTCAAATTTTATTTACTCTTTCTTAACATAATTTTGGTCACTGACAATATTATTAATAAAATAATAAAAATATGTTTTTCAAATATCAACAATTAAAATTGAAAATTTTCTTTCTCTAGACATTCATTATAATAATTTATAATTAATTATTTTAATTAATAATATTTCGAATTATAAAATATTTACTTATATATATATATATATATATATATTTACTTTCAAAGAATGCCAATTATAAATTGTAAACTTCATATAATATAAATAAAACATTCATATAATAGTATTTGAAACTATAGTAAAAATGAATACCGGTTCACTAAAGTCTATTTGTGTATCATAAAATTTATAATTTTTAGTAAAGATTTAAATAATGTAGAATCGTCTATTCAAAATAGTTGAAAGATGATTTTTTTTATCTGTAACTTTTCTTGAAAATTCGCTGCAATGTTTATTACTTTACTATGTAAAATTTGTGAACTACAGAAATACAATTTCGAAGTTAAAAAATTTTTTTTTCATAGAATATCTTATATAGTCTTAATAAATTTATAAGTATTTTAAATTTAAATTATTATAATTATAATCGGCCCCGTATTACCTTGTAACCAGGGCCTAATCGATGCATTGCACAAATCTGATGGGTTGTTAGAGCTTCACTGAAGAGATAAATTGCGCTCATCTGTCCACAAAAAATGCGCTCCTCGTCCAGTTCTGGCGTTGCGCCGATATAACATTTATCGAAAGGCTATTGAACATTACAAATTAAAAAATATAAGAATAAATAGAAGTGCATTATTTATTAAGTGCATGAAGTATTTATATATAATGTACTCACATCGTTCGTTGAAACGAACCATGCCATCTCTGTGCTTGAGGCAAGTTGACCATTGACCAAACACTTTATTTCACTCTTCGTCCATCTATTATATATATACACAACAGCGATCATATACCACTGTAAATCATATATGCAATTAATTCACAGTAGATAAAATATATTATACAATTAAACAAATTTATTTTTCTTTCAATGTATTTTAATATTATCATTAATTTATATATAACATACATATTATTTTGTATGTAAAAATTAATTGTTAAATGTGAACAATTTGAAATTGTTTGAAATTGTAATTTATATAATTTATATTTAAATTTCTCATTTCATTAAATTTTAAAATGAAATTTATGAGTTTATATATATGATACATGGTAATAAAATTTTAATGTACAAAAGAAGAGCGAATGAGGAGAAATGTACAAACCATATTAAAATCGTAATCATTTTTATACGAAAATTAATCCATATATCAAAATAAAAGAACGTAAAATTATATATTTATCATTGACGAAATTATGAAGAGAATGTCAAAATATATGATGAAATCAAATAATTAATATTTCTGATTTTTTTATTACACATAGACATAAACATGCTAAGAAAAAAGCGTATTATTTCATAAATTTTTACTAACTAATTTAATCGACTTAATCGACACTTACAAATGTGCACATTAAAATGTAATTTAATTGACGTTTATATAACTTTCAACTCTAACAATAATCTATAAGTAAATTTTTAATAAAATAATGGTAAAATTAGTAAAAAAGTAATCTTAACAAGTGTACATTGAGATACCTTTCGAGGTTGAAACTCGTATTTGACACAATGTTGGAAGCCTTTGCCCTTTATTTTCATTGATGTAAGAACCAAGCAATTGCCAACGAAATGAGCCGAATATCCCACACCTTTACCAGTTTTAAAACTAAAATTTAATTAAAAAAGAATTATTATATAGGCTTAAAACTTAAATAAATTAATAGAATATATAATTTATTATATATACATATATTAATAAATAATTATTATTTAAAATGTTGTACGGATACATTATACTGTAAATGATTGTCTTAAGGCGGTAAAAATTAAAAAAGTGTAAAAATACACTTCGAACGGCTACTCAGTGCAAAATACAAGTGTTTATAAGAAGATAGAATGTATATTCATATAAATAAATTAGCTGGTAATATATAATAATACAGTATTTACTTAACCTATTTGATTTCATTCCTTAAAGAATATTATAAAGTGTAGAAAAATAATACGATAAAAATAAAAATTTATAAAAGAAATTTTCAATGTTCGTTACCATGATTTAAATAAACATAATGCAGAAACAATATAAAAATACAAATCTACAAACTAGTTACTATCATTTTTTTTATCACTTTGTAAAGATCCCATAAGTACTGCTCCTGTCTTGTATACCCATACCTGATTGCGATTCATTATACATTCTGATATTCCTCTTATAACCTGCATAAATGCTCCCCGTATAAGCTGCGATAAGCTACTACCCCTCGTACAATCTCTGCTACCTCACAATCGCAACACCCCTTAAAGAACATGAGTGCTGCTCAACGTCGCTATCCGTTAACCTGTTTTTTTTTAAGCATTGGCTCTGGGTACTTTCTCCGTTACTTCCAAGCACTCTCTTTCAATGTACCTTACATTTTTCTTGACGTTCCTTTTGACTTACTCTCTGTTTCTCTTGCCATTACCTTTAAATTTTTTTCCCACCCCTCTCGTTATTATCTTCAAATCTCCTTGCCTTTTCCATAGTATTACTAACCATTCACGAAGTACACAATTTTTCAACTTTCGTGATACTAGTGATAAAATTATTAACCTAAAAGCTTTTAAAGCCGTCAGTTACTTATACACAAGTATTTGTATAATTATTAAATCTTTTATGACTTGTACATTATAAACGCAGCCTGATATAATTATAAAATAGAAAAACCAATAATTTTTAAGATCAATGTACCATAACTCCATCGTCATTATAAGTGTTGATTATTTGCCAATATATAAATTAAACGCCTAACAAAATTTTCTCTTTGTTTTGAGAAAAAGTGTCTCTTTTACCATTCATCCAGTCCCTATTCAACCTACGATTATTCAGAGTAAAAGAAGGACTAAATTATTACCTCAATAAAACATATCTCAATCGATACGAATATTGACACTAATTTCCGCTAATAATTTTATAGTATTGTTACATATGTTTAATTAATACAATTTATTCTTTAATTTTATTTACAAAAAAAGACTTATCGATATTCTATTATAGTATATATATATTAGTTTATAAATATTATTTTTAATAGAAACTTCGATATAATTTTCCACATTCTATTACAATGCTATTATAATTCTATTATTCTGTTATAAACGGTTATTTTCAATTTTATAAGTTTAGAAAAATATTCACCTATTTAATAAAGCATTACAAAAATTATTTTAAATGGAAAATAAAAGTTCGACTGATATACTGTATAATAATAATAATATACTTACCAATATAGGTATGGCTTTTCACGTTCAATATTAACGGAGTTAATAGGATCTAACCTAAACCATGTTGTAAATGTAAAACCACATTCATGCGGCCACTTCGCTAATGGTGGAAGGACGATTGCCTAAATAATTAATTTAATTAAGATTTAATTATTATATTAAATAAATTTATGAATTAAATAATATTTGAAAGAGATTAAAAATTTCAAAATGTAGTAAAAGGACGTATAATTGTAATTATTTTTGTAAAATATATAATTCTTGCACGCAAAAATTAAAATATTTTATAAAATTGAATATGATAATAATCAAGTAAACAGACTTAGTATATTTATAATAACTACAATATTATTCAAATTTATCTGTTCTAAATTCTTAGTAATTCATAGCACTATTATATAAATAACATAAAAATTTATTAAATATTTAAATTTAAAAATATTTTAATTATAAGTTACTCTGAATGGTCTACAACAATTATATTTATCTAAACGATATTATTTTTAGAATTATCAATATGAGATTCTAAATTACATTAAAATTCCAATTCAAACATATTTTCTAAATTCCTATAATAACCATAAAATGAAAAAATAAAAATGTGCAAATTTATTAACTTACTGATCCTTTTCGCCCAGGAAAACTGAAAAAGACGTCGGGGCCATTTCGTTGTGGCATTTGCCGCAAAACATTTAAAAGTTTTGCAGAATGCCTTGGCTACAAATTATAAAATTGTCAAAAAAAAAGATTACATAAAGAAATTTTATAAATTTTTTATTTTTATCAAACAATGCCTTAAAACCCTAAATACACTTTTAAGATTTACCCATTTTCCTTTGATTGTCTTCATTGCACCGAACAATAGCTTTAATTCCTTCACTGTTATACTGTAGCTAGCCAGCACACCCAGCATGTCAATTAACAGATCTATTTATAAAAAATAATGATATACTCCTATTAACTATGATATATAAATATCTACATTTTTAATTATTGAACAATTTTTTACAAACCCGCAACAATTGTTTCTGCTCTCGCTAACCGATGCAGAACATGTTGAATAAGATTAATGTCTGTACAAGCCTGCAGATTTCTAACACTTTTTCTCAATATGGCTATAAAGACACTCCAAATTTCAGCCTGTAATAAAAAAACAATCACATATATAAAAGAGTATCATAATAACTTATCATAATAATATTATGTCAGAAAATTTTAATTAATAAAAATTACAGATTAGTCATTTTCTTCATTTGTTTGTATTTCGAAATTTAAAAAATATATTATGATATACTATATAAATACGGTATGAATATGAAGTTTAATATAAATTGTTTATAATAGATTTTTTATCCATTTTTCTTTATTATATAAGTTATATGTATATATTTGTACATATTTGTATAATTTGTATACATGAGAATTTCATAATTTGTATTCTTCCATATGTAATAATAAAAATTAGATATACGTTATTCTCATTATAAAAATCTTATTATGCTATTAAATGGTTTATATATTATTACAATTAAGAAAAAATTAAAAAATTAATTGAGTAAACTAAATAATTTATTTATGTATTAATGCATGATATATTAATTAATTATAATAAATTCAATATAGTTTACAAAATATTAATGAGAAAATGAAAATTGTAAATTTGTGATGTAACTGATATAATTGTAGGTTTTTACAATATTTATACAAGTAATGCCATGGTTCAATCATATTTTTAACAACATTAGTAATATGCTATTTATTAAAAGTTATGGATTAACATTTATACGGCAGTAATATTTATAAATGATAGTTTCTTACGATTTATTATAAACTAAACTTCTTTTTTACAACAATCATATAGTTTTCTCTAAATTATATGTCAAAAGTTATTTTCAGAAACTTATAATGGTATATAAATTAAGATGACTATTTTCGTGAAGTTTTGAATATATTGGTTGAAAGATATACAACTAACTATGGTTTATTACTAAATTTGAATTTATTAGCTAATTAAAAATATAAAAATCAATTTTTTACAAATCAACATAAAAATACTTTAATAAGTTTAATTAAATTAATTATTAAATAGAAATTAAATAAAGATGTTAAAATAAGATATTCAATTTCATTTCTAAAATTATTATTCAAATTTTCATAATTGTTTGTAATTAATTTAAAAGTTATTAATTTTATTGATTAAAATTATATTTAATCATTGTTGTTGTACCAATACATTCGACAAATACAGATTTCAAAAATATATAATTTCTTTTTAATATACAAATTATCTGTTATGATTTAAATGTAACTTATCATAATATATAAATGAAATTTATTATTATTTAGAATGCGAAAGAGTTGGTTGAATCATAAATATAAATTTTAATAATAAAAATATTGGTGAATTAATTATATTATTACTTGCTTTATATTTTGTAGTGTATATATTGACTGTATGATTATAATATTTTGTTGACTACTTTTAAAATTATGTCGTTTTTAACTTACTTTTTATCTTACACTTTACTACATAAAAATTAAGTACACATTTTTGTTGATAATTGAATTTTTTTAGTCAAATTATCATTTATTATTTTGTATATATCACAATAGTATTTCGAAATAGATTTAATCAAAATAATAAATATGTATTACATCAAATGAGTTAATTTCATTAACAAAATTTTGATATTTTTATGAAAAATATATATTAGCCTATGAACAGAAAATGTTGAGTATATTATCAACTCTGCTTCACACTTTTTTGTGTAATCGATTTTCATTCTATTTTAATTTTATCTTATTCAATTCAATTCTATTTCAATATATCAATTTGCATTCTATTCATTCATGTAAAAACATTAAATGAAAAAGTAGTAAAGGTGAAATAGTTGTAACCATCTCTTTCTTCGTATGCTCAGTCAGAGTGTTTACTGTCTTGCTTTTACTACCGAAGCTGGATAATAACATTTTTATTTACTTTAGGCTATTTTATTTTATTTGTGCATATATGAAGAATGAGAATCAAATATAAACGATGTAAAAACTGTTAAAAAATAAACGATTTTCCAATATTCATAGATTTAAACGGGTTACTTTGCCCAAATAATTAATTAAAAATTCTATTTTATTGGTGAAAAGCATTTTATAGTTCTTTTCAGAAAAAATGAACTATTCCACGTATACCATTACCTTTTACTTATATTGAGACAAAGCGTTATAAACAACAATTGACGGAAGATGTATTTCCAAAAATTATTGATCATAAGGTAAAAACATGTGATAAAAAGAACCTTATAGTTGTGTTAAGTTTCAGTTCAATTAAATTTCAATTTTCGTCACTAAATAATTCATTTAATAAAAAAAGTACTTTTCCTTGTAAAGTTGTATGTGAGAAGTAAATTAAATTACGATTAACCAGAAATATAGTGTGTGAAAAAATGATTAACATAAATAAAAATATAAGTCAAGCAAACAATGCATTAGAAATCAAATTTCTCATATTTACTAAATACGAATATTCTGTGAACATTATTTTCGTTTTCATACATTACAAATAACTATATTAAAAATATTAGTCTCAAATTAAAGTTTAAAATGAAATATTTAGAGTACAATTATAATTAAATAAATATTAGACTTTGTATTTTACAAGATTTCAGCTTTGTTATTTAAACAATTCTCTTCGTACGAAATTAAAAAATATTTTATGAATTTCCATGTAGTAAATACTACTATATTTATTGCAATAACTAACCAAAGTTTCATGAATATATAGTGATAGGTTTTGCACTTCTGTTTTTTTTCAAACACGAGGGCTCTTCTACTATTTCCAGCTGAACAACTGTTATTGATTTCAGATTCATATTAAAGACAGTTTTTATTAAAAAAATTGTCAATAATTTTAAAAATAATGTTTAACAATTTATTTTATTGCAACATGCAGCGATAATATTAGTATTAAGGTCATCTAAAAACATAACCAAATACATTTTTGATGGAAAAAACTTATTCCAAAATTGAATGGTTGATGAATATAGTTAAGCCGAGGACGTAAAAAATAACTATATATTTGAATAATAACTACAATTTTACAGTACTTGTTTAACTACCACTATGTTTTTTACAAAAATTTTATTAAATAAGCAGTCAATTACGATCAACGTCATTTCAATCCACCGTTTCTGAAATACTCGCTGAATTATGAGTGTATACTGCTGGCCACTTATTTCATATGTAATCTTATATTAATATAAACGTTAATTATTATCAGCTATACACCAAGATGATTAAAAATAAAAAAATTAATAAAACGTTATTACATTTAAGTCAGTTATTTAAAACTTACTTTTTAATGCTCTGCATTAAATTTAAAAACAAAACAAAGAAAGTGAAATAAAAAATTAAATTATGAAATTTAAATAAATTTAGAAATTTATCAAATAATTGAATATGTAGTAATAAACTAGAACTATATTTCATATTATATTAGAATATTAGTACGTGCTATAAAATTTTCTTGCTCCTTGCTAAATGACTATTATTGGTAATGAACTGATTGAAATTAATAATTACTATATTTAATTTTTACGATAAAAATGATAAAAAAGATTTTCGAAACGAAGTACCTAGATAATCAGAGTATGAAAACTTACTAGTTCCGCACCTATAGTTATGCGTCTGTAATGCCTGAAACTCTACATCTTTTAGAAGTCATGGTCATAACCAATCAGTATGTTATCACAATTATTAATTGAAGTCGTATCATACAAATATAAGATAATAGCAAATGTATAGAATATATATATATATATATATATATATATATATTGGTAATGAACCTAAACTGAATTAAATGATAACTTATACGTGCCTGTAAGTTTGACGGACAGTGATCGAGAAGTTCCAACATGTGTCTGATATTTTGAGCGTCCTGTACTACAAAGTTTAGTTCCATATCAAATTCACCTCCTACAAGCTGGAAAAAATGTTAAACCATTTAAATTATTAAATAATTATAGAATTTGTAAGTATTTTTAAAAAATGTTATATTTATTTATAATTTATTATTTTAATTTATATTTTACTTTATAAATTATCTAATGACAAGAAATAAATGTAACTTTTGAATATATATCTTGCAAATATTGTTGTTGTAAGAAAATATTTATAACAATATATTATAACATTATTTTACATAATTTTATAAGAAGGGATTTTTTTTTGCGTTTTAGTCTCAGAAAATCCATAATTATTGCGATACCTCATTACTCCGATTATGAAAAATATTTAAGTTCGCCGTTCATTTGACCCCTCGTTCCTTACCAAATCCATTTTTTCTACCAGACTACTTTTTTTAGAGCACTGAGAATAAACCTTCTAAATAAAATGAATAAATATATTTTGTTTGTGATATTTTCAAATGAGATCAGCAGAAGACTGTTGAGAGACAACTAAGTGTAATTGGATAAATCTAACATCCTTTTTCCTAATTATATCCCGAATTATAATTCCATATATTAAAAATATATTTTATAAATAAAAATATATTAAAAAAAAAAAAAATATATATATATATATTTACAATGTAAAACAAATATAATATTATAGTTATAAGTGTAAGATAGAAACATAAGGATAATATAAAACCTACAATGCTTAATATAATAAATTTTTATTTTTTAGATATTAAAAAAAATTAGTAATATCGATAATAATATTTTAAATAAATTTATTACCTTCCAAAGTATAGTGTATATTATTAGCTTCAATATTAATAGGTATAAAGATATTTATAGAAATTCTTAATATTCTTAAAGATAGTTGAAATTTTGCACACTGTGAAATCCATCATATTTATATATTTAACTAGTGAAATTGATGAACTGTTTGAAATTGTTCAGTAGCTATGGCTTCAAATCAATATAACATAGAAAATGTAGAGATGCTTCATTTCGTTATGAAATTATACAGTAATAGTCACATGTACAATTATAAATAATTAATAAATGAAATAATTTAAATTGATGTGTCAAGTCGTTTTCGATTTATTAAGAAGATATAATTATGATATGTGAAATACATACACTTAAATTGCAACTATGAACAACAGCAATAGAGTTTGTCATATTTTTTGTGCTAAATAAAATGAATTGGCTTATAGTTCTTTAAAAAATAATAAGGGTATAAAGATATAATCGTCACTGTATATATATAATGATAATATATTTGTAAAATTATAGATATGTAGGTTTTATGCAATTATGAATTCATTATAAATTTGTAATAAATTATTATTGATTCTGTTGTCAAAGATACCAAGCACAGTATTTATAGCTAGTAGAAAATAATCGAAATATTTTTGATATTTTTCATATTATGAATTATTTGTAAAATTACTGAATTTAACATATATTTGAAACATATATTAACACTACTTAGATATATATTACAAAAAAATTTGTTAATAGCGTCCATATCACAAAACATTTGAAAGAGTATTGAAAATCTTTCAATTAATTTATCCATAATTTAAATATTAAATATTTCTAATAATATATATAAATCATCGTTAATTTATAATTAAAAATTGAAATTCAAAAGATTTATTTATAACAATATAAGTATTGGAGAAAATAACTGACGAAGGTAATTGTCGTAGTCGTAAAAATAGTAAAGTATATTTTCTAAAGAATGATAATATAAACTTTCGGTTGTAAAAATGAAAACTTTTTTGGATACTATATGCTCATACGAACTAAATCACTATATAGTTGCTATATTCAAAATTTTAATTCGAAGTTATATATATTTGCAAAACGAGCGCCAAACATAAAGTGGTATTGTATGAATCTCTTATTTAGATTATCCCTACAATAATGGATTAAAATAGAAATAGATCTAATAATCCAATAGAAAGTAATCGAACCTTTAAAGAATTTATGATCATTGACATTACACGTTGTTTTAAAAACGCTAAAATATTATTAATTGTTTTATATTATTAATTAATATAATTAATTAACAAATATTAATCCGATACTAAACTCTTCCTGTTCATCAAATGTAACAATTAATTTCTGAGAAGCACAATGTTCGAAACATTTGACTACATACTAATGTTAACTACATAAAAGGAAAATCTTTTACGAAAATTAACAAATAAAAATCAGCAATTTAATTCAATTATAAGTATTTCAATTGCGTAATTATTTTTATGTAAATTTCATCGCAAATAAATTATACATTTAATTCTAGTATATTTATTTATTCTCGATCAAAAATATCGTTAACAAAATATTCACACTATTATCTCAAATCTTTCTAATAAAAACTTGAAGAAATATTTGCGTTGATTTTTAACTACAAAACATACCCTTTTAAGAACAAATAGTAATTATAATAATGAAAAAAGTTAACATGTTTGAAATAAAGAAACTAAATTTCTCTTTCATTAAAATATTATTATAGTTCATTCGATAGTAATTAGTGAGATAAAAATTAAAAATTTGAACACTCTCTCTATTCATTAGATTTAATTTCAAGTAACTATTCTATATTTGTTAGCTTTATTAAATAGTTTGGAAAACAGATATTTTTATAGATTTATTACCTAAATAAATAATTATTTTATAAAATTGTACAAATCCGTGTATCGAACTAATTTTTGTACTTTTCTGAAACACTCGAATTTAATGTTAATTATATTGGTGTCAATAAAAATTTTCAAAAACACATTTATTCTCAAGACAAAGATTTTGAATCTCTTTTTAGTATTATGGTATTTTAAATTTATTTTAAAGAGTTGGTGCATTATTTTCAACCACTAGAATTTCTCAATAATAAGAAAAAATATTTGTTGTTGGAATACTAAGAAGTTTCAAAAATTTATGTAATATATTTACTGGAATTTAAGTACATGTTATACATTATTTTTAGTCCACAAAACATTAGGAGTTATAATTTATGGATTAAATTACTATTTTTTCTTGAAAACAAAATATAAAAAATATAAAAAGTTTTCAATTAAATAAGGTTAAATTGTTTTGCATAGACATAAGAACAAATAGATTTAAGCTTGACTTATAAAATATAAAATTAAAATTTTTTTAATCTTAATGACTATTGGTCTAATTAATTTTAAATAGAAATATTTCATTAATACATGAGTAATAACAATGTTTTGAAATAACTAAAATAATTGATGTTAATAAGTTTTCTAATATCTACTTTAAAAATCGTTCAACCATTTATAATTTTTATAATATTTTTATTATTTATTTTGTATTGTTAATGCAAAATGTTCAAAAACATAATTCAATTTTAATATATGAAGCTTCATGTTTTAAATTATAATACTGATTTATTTCATTTAAATTCATATTATAAATAATTTATTATTTTATTAACTTATTGATAACTGATGTACAAGTTGATCTAGTCTATTTTATTTGGGATACGAATTAAAATCAGTTATATTAATGATCTTATGATATAATTTGTCAATTACTCCTAAAGTTAACTTTTAGTCTCTGACCCAAATTATAATGTGTTTGTAAAGACAATTCTTAGACGAATAAAGAAGAATGTATTAATTTATTGAAATTTATATCAAGACATTAAAGGTTCTCCATTTTTTTAACGATTCCTTCTTCTTTATAATCTAGTTGAATGTCGCATTCGAAGATCTATAAGAATAGAATTATGTTAGAAAATCAAAATTTTTCAATAAATATAGACCTGTGAAGATATGCGTGGAGGGGCTACGACTGCCGATTTACGAAAATATGTCTTTTAGTATCACGCAGTAATGAAAACACGTGAAAAGCTTGGATTGGTGAGGTTGTTGATAATTATCATTTAGATTGAAATTTGTCTTATGTATTCGATAACTTAAATACACATAATGAAAAAAATTAATATATTTTGAAATAATTTAATTAAAAAATTTTATTATTATATAGTTAATATTTACAAAATTGGACACGAATACATTAATGATTGTGAAAATAGATAATGATAAAAATAGATCCTAAATCATCGAAAAAAATTATAATACATAGTTATTAATATAATTAAACATAATTTTACATAATATTATTTTATACATGTAAATACTTAACTTATTTTTATATAAAAAATAGTAAATATGCTGATAAAAATGTTTATAAGCAATAGTCGATAATAAATCAATAAGACATACATACGTGTGGACACATGCATATGTGATAATATTTAAGAATATAAAATATCGCAAAAGATATTCTACTATTACTTTAATGAGAAATTTGGAATTTAGAAATATTCTAGATAAAGTATTGTATAAATCTGTAAAGCTTAATTTAATGTTTTTAAAAATAATTAATGGAATATGGTTGGTATTGTTCGCATTCACTTTAAGGATTTCAATAAGGTAAAAACAGATATTCTTTAAGATATATTTTTTAAAAATTTTTCTTTATTTAACTATTACAGATCATTATTATATTAATAATTAAAAATAAAACTGCTATATAAAATATTTTTTAAAATTACATTTATATACTTTTATTTCTTATGATATAAAAGATAAATAAGCATTTTAAAAAATCGAATTTCGATATTACGGCAGCAAATATCATTTTTGTAAACGTACACACACTTTACTCATCGTAATAACAACAGTAATAAAAGAATTAGACAAGAGTTGCTGTTTCTCAGATTTCGAAAGATCAGCAAGCTTGGGTCTATTTTTTTATATACCATTTTATTTAATACAAATATCTGAAAAATGTATGAAAAACTGATGATTAATCTTAAAATTGAAATATAGCATTATAAATTCTTCTATAAGTATTAAAGTCATTTAATACTTTTCAATAGCATGGCTTGAAATTACATTAAATAATTATTAAATCAAAATGATATAGTATAAGTTTAGTATTACTTTTCATGAACTTTCTAGAAAGTTGATTATGAAGATTTTTACATCAGGGATTA